ATTTTAACACGGAAGCCAATTTGTTGGCCGTGACATCATACAGTCTAGTATAAAAAATTGCTCTCAAGTATGCCTGCTAAGCCTAGATTCATTCATTACATAAACCGTTTGCTCGGTACCATTTTGCACAAAATATGATAGAAACGAAATATGACGTGCTTAATCTTTTCCATCTAATGTCAACTTAATTCCGGTTCCAATTCAAATTTGAGGGTGACTAAGTCTCTAATGCTATCAGACTAATCATAACACGATGATTTAACCAATTTTACATTTCTCCCATCATTTTGTAAAATGCTATTAGCATAATTTATGAGACGCATTAATTCGCCTAAGGAAGTTGGATACATTAACACTACCACTAACTACACCAGCTCACACACGCGCGCACACACACACACGCGCACACACATGCACGCACGTGCGCACGCACGTACGCACGCACGCACGCACGCACGCACGCACGCACGCACGCACGCACACACACACACACACACACACACAGCATTCACGTTTGCGACGATTGTAATAGAAATTAAAAGCATATAGCATGGCAAGCTCCCAATCATGAGGCTTCATATATATAAAATAGCAGCAATAGCAGCGAAAAGTTTAGCATGTTTAAAAAGCTTGAAGACCTAGAGTTCGCTGACGATTTAGTTTTACTAAGCCAAAAGAGCACTCAAGCACGACAGAAATTCGAGGCTCTCCAGGAGCACGCAGATAAAATCGAGCTCAAAGTGAATGCATCCAAGACGAAAGAGATGAGGATTGGAATAACAGCAAATAGAGAAGAAATTGCCTGCAGAGGAAAGACGCTGGAACAAGTTACTGCCTTCACATATCTGAGCAGCATTGTCACAACAACCGGAGGAACGGAGGAAGATGTCGAAGCTAGATGTAGGAAAGCACAAGCTGCCTTCTGTACACTGCGATCAGTCTGGAGATCTCGGTACATTTCTTTGTGCACAAAGCTTAGAATCTTCAATTCGAACGTAAATTCCGTCCTGTTGTATGGATCAGAGACATGGCGGTTGATTAAGAAAAGTCATCAACAAGCTCCAAGCCTTTATTAATCGTAGACTCCTCTACGTACTTGGAGTCTTCTGGCCATTAATAATATCAAATGAAGACTTGTGGCAGCGCACAAAACAAGAGAGAGTTGATGTCACCATCAGGCGTAGAAAGTAGAAATGGGTTGGTCATACGCTCAGAAAACCTGCGAGTAACATCACACGACAGTCCCTGGAGTGGAATCCGCAAGGAGCTCGGAAGAAAAGCAGACCGAAAAAGTAATGGAGAAGGACCATCAGACGGGAATATGAAGAGATTGGAATGTCTTGGGAACAAGTGAAGCGGACAGCTCAAAACCGAGTCCGACGGAGGAAGACTGTGGAAGCCCTATGCTCCGGTCGGAGCGAAGAAGATTGATGATGATGATGATGATGATGATCAGCAAAAAATTGACGAAACTGTTATATTGAAGCTAAACGTACAGAAATATACAAATAGGTTTCATTGCATTAAACACCATTTATTAATAAAAATTTACAATCAACGTAACATTTCACCAAAATAGCTGAAATTCCCTCGGCTTTTTGCGATCCACATACATGCTTTACAATGGTCGCCAATCTGGATCCTGCGTTGTGACAAGATCTAGATTGGTGACTATTGCAGAGTCAGCTCAAACTCTGCAATAGCATCGCGATCGATACGCATTGCGGGTCTACACTATTTCGTGGGTGTAATTGTATAATCCTCAATTGCTACAGTAGTTATATGCACTAGTTCGTATGAGTACTATTGAACTGGGCGCAGATATTGCTGAGATTAAAGTCAGGGTATTTCTTGAAAATGATGAATTAGCTCAAATATCTTGTACGACCACATTAATAGCATTAGAGTACGAGCGCAGTATATGAGTTACATGGTCGTGGCTGAAGCCCGCGCTGTTTACGTTGATTTAATATAATGCCGAGTAACCTGTTTCACTATTTCTAACGCATGTAAATATAGAGTGTTGCGAATAATAAATTATACACGAAATCAATATTCAGCATAATAACATACACGGCTATGTTCAGAACATCGAACGAAAACTCCGTTTAAAAACAACTGCGATCAGTTTCTCAACTCCTTCGCATTACAATTGCAAATGTAAAAGACGTTCGATCGCCGTAAACGAGAGAAACCCCGCTCCGAAGTTCTTTTGACGGAAACCGTCGGACGTCTACATGACAGTGATTTATCATGCTAAAACTGTTGATTTAGAACGACAAGTGTAGGTTTTTGCGTATAGTATACCTATCATGTAGTTAAAGAAACATATCTATCGTGTCGTACACACGCAGGAAGTCGATGAGCGTACCGACTAGCTCGATAGTGTAACTCGTAAATAGCCATCAGACTGCTTGCTCGACGTACAGCCGGATCGATAGCGGCTTTTTCACTTGTCATACTCTCATTAAAGATTTAGATATTCGAGGCACTTTGACTCGATCTTATTTAGATTTTGCATGCGAATTCTATAAAGCATTACGCGTAGAATACTCGTCCGACGAAAATGAATGAATCGCTAAATATGGAGATAGCTTGTTCAGCTTGGAATGGAACGTGCAGTTTTGAATCGTCACCGAGATCGGGTAAGTGCTACCGCGCACGTTTCCTAACCATGGTGAGAAATTTCCAAATAGAGTTGTCGTAACCGCTGTGGCGATCGCTCATATATCGCTGTATAAATATCACTCGCGCCGCAACACGCGCAGTCGGGCTTACAGTCTACGGTTATCGCTATACACGCCTATGGTTTGCATACCTCTACGCACGCTCAGGCACACACATGCTTACCCCACGCACGCTCACACACACACATGCTTACCCCACGCACGCTCACACACACATATGCTTACCCCACGCACGCTCACACACACACACATGCTTACCCCACGCACGGCTCAACCCCCCGCACACAATGCTTACCCACGCACGCTCACGCCACACACACATTGCTTACCCCACGCACCTCACACACACACTGCTTACCCACGACACGCTTACGCACGCACACATGCTTACCCCACGCACACCCTCACGCACACACACATGCTTACCCACGCACGCTCACGCGCACGCCACATGCTTACCCCACGCAGCACTCACACACACACATGCTTACCCCACGCACGCTCACACACACACATGCTTACCCCACGCACGCTCACGCGCACACACATATGCATTACCCCACGCACACTCACGCACACACACATGCTTACCCACGCACACTCACGCACACACACATGCTACCCCACGCACGTCTCACGCGACGCACATGCCTTCCCCACGCACGCTCACACACACACATGCTTACCCCACGCACGCTCACACCACACCGTGCTTACCCCACGCACACTCACGCACACACACATGCTTACCCACGCACACTCACGCGCACGCACACATGCTTACCCCACGCACGCTCACACACACACACGTGCTTACCCGCACGCCTGCTGACGCCACACACATGCTTACGCCCACGCACGCTTAACGCACGCACCACTGCTTACCCCACGTACGTCACGCACACACATGCTTACCCACGCACAGCGCACGCGCACACACATATGCTTACCCCACGCACACTCACGCACAACACACACATGCTTACCCACGCAGCGCTCACACACACACATGGCTTACCCCACGCACCGCTCACGCACGACACATGCTTACCCCCACGCCACGCTACCCCACGCACACTCACACATGCTTACCCCACGCACACTCACACACACACATGCTTACCCCACGCACACTCACGCACACACACATGCTTACCCCACGCACGCTCACGCGCACACACACACATGCTTACCCCACGCACACTCACGCACACACTATTATTATGGGTATACCACGCACACGACCATGAACGATTAAAACGCTCACACACACCCCCACGCACGCTCATGCACACTGACGCACGTTTATGTGTACCACGCGTTCGTCTATAAACGATTAAATACTTTCACGGACACTCACGCACACGCACGCACACTGACGCACGTTTATGTGTACCACGCGTTCGTCTATGAACGATTAAACACTTTCACGGACACTCACGCACACTCACGCAGCACGCTTACGTGTACCATGCGCACGTCTATATGAACGATTACGCACACTCACACACACTCACGCACGCTCACGCCGTACGTTTATGTGTAGCACGCGCCCGTCTATAAACAATTACACACACGCACGCTCACGAACGCGCACGAGCGTTTATGTGTAGGCCTACTACACGCAGGTCTATGAACGATTACACACGTTCGTCCTCACTCACCCACGCTCACGCACGCTCACGCACGCTCACGCACACTCACACAGCTCACGCACACTCATGCTGGGCCCACGCTCACGCACGTCGAACGGAAGAGATGCCACTCCTAGTATTGGATTCACGGCGTACAATATAATACTTGATTACCTATAAAAGACACCAAGTAAAATTACATTTATTCATGCTCGTCCAATAAATGTGCACAATCACTCTACCTGAGCGGAATGAAATACAGAAACCGGCGCGAATCAGTGAAATATTAAAGCAACATTGAAAAGGTGTGATCGCTACGTGTGCAGGTTATCAGACATGCAGTAAATATGATTTTGCCTATATGCACATGCAGAGGAGCGTTCACTTCAACTACACTTGTGCGACAGAACTCGAATATTATTACTAGCTTGAAATTTCAAGCAATTTAGTAGATAACCGAAATCTAGACTTTAGTAGGAAGCACAGCAGACTTCTATGGCGGTTTAAAATGGTACCGCAGTCACGCAAACTCACGACCGAACTTATATGAAAATATAAGAATATAATATAATATAGAATATAACCGAAATATATATATATATATATATATATATATATATATGTGTGTGTGTGTGTGTGTGTCCGTGCGTGCGTGCGTGCGCGCGCGCGTGTGTGCGTGCGTGCGCGCGTGTGTGTGTCTGTGTGCGTGCGTGCGTGCGCGCACGCGCGTGTGTGTGTGAGTGTTAGCTACACGGCCGTGTCACGGCTCATGGCGACCCAGCTAAAGATGAAACAGACTAGATAGATCGTGAACAGCAGACGATCGACAACGATGGCCACCTTGGCCCACTCGTCTAACGTGTCGCGCGCCGCCTGCTCCCTCTGCTGCCGCAGCAGCATCTCATGCAGACGCTCATTGTTCTGTCGTTGATCATTGTTGGCATCAGTGACCGGACGCTGCAGATCGGTAAGGTGGCGGTCATCGTCGTCCATCATCTCGTTAGTCAGCGGCACGCGGCCGTCCCTGCCGTACGCGTTCGATCTGAGCCGACACAGGCGTCCGAGGCCATCGATGAAAACCTGCACGATAATCGAATGACAGGTTGGTTTTTTTCCTCGTCGGCGCCCTCTCGCCGGTGGGTGTGTCTGTATTACCGCCTGTGACTCGGCGCGCACCGCAGGTTGTCTGGCGCTACGCTATTGATTCAGCGAACAAAATATCAACTGACATTCACACCTGTGTACGTGTGTGTGAGCGCGCGCGACCGACGGATCTGCGTCATGATATAGATCGGACTTACCTTGTTAACCCACGCCGGCACGGGCCGCACACAATAGCGGGGTCTGCGATAATGCAGGTTCAATACTATCACAGCCGCTCCGACACTGATTGCAACCATCAGGTAGGTGAAGGCGAAATACTTTACTGAAATAAATTAAGGAATCGCATCGCATCCTCTCGTAACGCGGTCATTGTTCCGTGCAGTATACGATACATGATACGCGAGCTGAAAAAAGATGACGTTTCTGTACTATAAAGCAGGTATATATATATATATATATAACAATCTTTGCAGGTTGTCAGTTACGATTAAGAGCGCCGTCCGTGTAATTGCACGTCACCGCACGTCGCGCGGCGGAACCGACTCATTTCGTCGCGCGGCGCGATATTAATATATCTTCACGGCGGGAGCGTCGCTTACCGATCACGGGCACGTGTTTGCCGGTGAGCGGCGGCACTTGCTGCGACATCTGCAGGCTGAGCACCGTCAGCGCGACAAGGTTCGTCATCGCTGCCGTCAGCTTCTCGCGGCTGCCCGGCGGCACCCAGAAGACGAGCAGCGTGACGGCCTGCACGGCGCCGAGCGGTAGAACGAGGCTTGTGTACGACATGGCGCTGTCACGTCGCACCGTCAGCGTGAACGTCACGTCGACGAACGGATCCGGACAGCAGGCGAACACCTCGGCGTGTCGCGTCGCCAGCGTATCCTCGACGCGCCAGCCGACGCTCGCGTGGTACCACGACAGATCGATGACCGACACGTTGTCCTTGAGCGCGACGTCGAGCCGCGTCGCGTCGTGCGTCAGCGAGCCGAATGTGAAGTGACACGTCTGTCGATCGAAGGGAAAGAAGTCGAGATGCATGTCGCAGAGCACGACCAGGTCGGTCGGCGGCGACCAGCGCGTCCTGCCGTCGCTGGTCACCGTCAGCGGCATGTCGGGAAACGAGTAAAAGCCGGGGACGATGCTGAAAATGAGCAAGGCGCAGTGTTATGGTCCAGAGCGCTGTACGCAACGAACGATGCCTACTAGCATAGTCTCTACTAGCATAGTCTCTACTAGCATAGTCTCTACTAGCATAGTCTCTACTAGCATAGTCCACTAGCATAGCTCCTTACTAACATATCTCTTCTAGCATAGTCTCTACTAGCATAGTCTCTACTAGCATAGTCTCTACTAGCATAGTCTCTACTAGCATAGTCTCTACTAGCATAGTCTCTTCACCCCCCCCCCCACCAACTGTCGACGCGACTAGCCTTGATGCCGATCTGACGTGCTCATAATATGACTAATTCGTAGCGATGAGTACGTCAGTTAAACGCAGCATCCGACGCGAGAACGTCTGCTCGGAGTAACTCACCATTGAGCACGCGCGGGGGGAGGGGGGGGAAGAGGAGGGGGGAAGAACACATCACGAAAGACCATCTATCAGTTTGTGAATATATTGCGTTTTTCGAAGCGCAGGCGGTGACCGCGATTAAAAGTACCGCCACGTCGTATCTATCGCATATATCGTTCTATAACTAATATCAATAGATATAATACTATACTATAATTCGTATCAATGCCGAAACTATAGCTCCTAGATCGCACGCGGGGACGATACATCGGATATAACAATACTTAGGCCTTATCAATGACCAATCACCAGGCGTGAATGTTTTTAGAATATCGTCGAGGGGTGACCTGTCCGAACGTGGACTTACACCCACATCTCTCTCTCTCTTTTCGAAATATCCGCTGACATGAACTAATCACTGACTCTCATTTAAATTGCGCGGCACAACCGCCTGCCCCATTATCGAATGTCTGGCTTCCAGACAGTAGGCGATGGAAGCGTGACTTGCGTGATGCCCTCATAATCATCGGGATTCCACGTCATTTGAGCGTTCTTCCACACCTATATTGCGATTAATAAATAAATAAATAAATATATATATATATATCTTTATATGTATATATATATATAAGAAGAAATTGACACTTCATTATATTTTTATACTTAAATATTTTCAATCATTTTACTTACACAACACACACGCCACGCGCACCACGCACGCGCCGCGCCACCACGCACCATCTCACAACCGCCGCCGGCCGGCTACGCACCACACACACACACAACACACACACACGAAGGCGCGCGAACCACACATACACGCACCACGCACGCGCAACCGCACACGCGCCACGCAGCACGCACACTGTGGCACTCAGATCCACAACCACACGCCCACGCACACACACGCCTCACGCACACCACACGCACACCCGCACACGCACACCGCCCGACGCACACAGTGCCTTGCACATCTGATGTCACACCGTTATTCGCACACACACACACACACACACACATACGATAAGTATATTAATATATATTAATCTACTATATATGGATAGAAAAATACAAACTGGGAAGGAAATGGTCCAATAACGCAGCCTTTTGAGAAAACACGAGCAACCGCGTTAAGATAAATCTACAATTAGGTAGGCAGCATACCTCACGGGAATCCGCTGAGCACCTGAAACATTCCCGTTTCATTAAATTTCATTTATGTCGCGAGCGTGCAGGCACGCGCGGGTGTGAAAGAAACTTCGCTATTACCTGTTTATTGGTATACACCTTAATGCGCTTATTCTGTAAAGCTCTTAGGAAATCACGAAAAATGTCTCTACCTATAACGTTCAAGCCGACGTTAATGCCTTCCATGCAACGACTTTTTATCGTCGAGTGCTGTTTTACGAGCGAGCACGTACTTGCTTTAAGTAACTATAATATTATGATTATAACATCTTTGATGGCATATTCCGAATTTTTCCGGTTAATTTAACGTACTGAAATGCGGACAGTGCGTAGTGTCTGATTTACAACAATAGCCTGCTTAAATGAAGACCCACACACACACCACCACACCACACACACACACACAACACACCACCGCACACACAGCACGCACGCACGCACGCACGCACGCACGCACGCACGCACGCACGCACGCACGCACGCACACACACACACACACATACACACGCACATACCTACACACCTACCCACGCAAACACGCAACAGAGGCGCAAACGCAACAGCGCACGTGCAGGCGTACGCGCACATACACGCACAAATACACGCGTTCACAACCGAGCTTACAGGCGAAATCTCATGTATAAATAATGAGTAACAAAACGCAGACCAAGACACTTCGAAGGAAACAGCAGCGATAGAGCCTTGCCTACTCCCCTGTCATATCGAAGAGTTTGAAACACTAATTCGAGCCGTTAAACCCAAATTAGGAAGTCGCGTTCTAAGCTCACTAAGCAAGGCACTTTCTTCCGATTGTAATGGTTCCCGCAGCCGCAAATAGCCCTCAATAATAAAACGTAGGAAGTTAATGCGGGATGGATCATCATCCCGTCCAGAAACTCTGCGCTCTCCACCCATTTTCAAATCCGAGGGATAGGCACAGGCTCGACAGGACTTGAAATACGTTCGGAGTGAAAAATATAATCGAATCACACACGTGAAGGGATTTTACGGTGGCACGGGAAAGGATTCTTATAACAATGTCGTAGAAAATCTTCGTCCCCATGGGTTAATTTGCTACGATTCCTAATGTGCTCATCATGATTATTCGCTAGAAATATAATTTGGCCAAATAATCTTATTATGAGTGACATTGGTAACTTATATACAGTAGTCGTAGACATCGTAACATAAACTTCGGCGTTTAATTACATGTATACATATGGATGTGCTAATTATATATTTGGAAATGTCGTGGGTGATCAATCACTGTTAGAACATTAAAATTCTTACCATAATCAGCCAAGCCCTTACATGAATAGTGCTTTGACTCTCATCCTGAAAAAAAAACATTCAAACTTTTATAGACTATCAAGTTTCCGCTTGTTTTATCAATGAAATGCTAAATAATATTATTGCGTGTTTTTATTTAAAGCTCATTGTAGTGTTAGAATTTCCGAACCATTCTTGGTAATTGCGATCGTTGCGCCCCCTCTCGATATTAATATGTGAAAGTTTACTTAGCAGATGAGGCGATCCGGTAATGGAAGTGAAATATAAAATATTCATTGCCGCGTATGCATGCCTACTATTTTCATAATCTTCTTGAGTTGCATTCCAATTTCAACCAAAACTGATTCGCTCGCGTTGATGATGGGGCGTGCCAATGGCATGTGTGTAGTGAGAAGGTCTTGAACCAATCGAGTTTCTGCGTTGCTTCCATGGCCGCCGGGTGTACCTGTTGGAAAGACGCTGATCCATGAGTCCCAACTCATAACTAAATCATATTACAATGTACTCAATTGATAAATATTTCTCGGAATAAAGCTCATGATTTTTTTCACAAACGAACAGATAAAAAGACAAAACCCATCACGTATTTGTCTAGCATGGTTATGATGCAATGCGGTTGTTTATATTGCATGCAATCAATTCATTCCCATGGTCCTTACTTCTATGACAAATCCTAGTCCAAAACGAGTAGACTTTACTATTATACAGCAATTATACTCCATCAAGCCCAAAGTTATTATTCATGCATCATTTATTAGCAGAATAAACGCAATTACCTCCTTATTCGTATCCATGTATACATCGACGCTTCTATACATGTTTCTACAGGGACCCTACATGTTTCCAGAAAGTAGTGCCACGCGGCGAAAATAGGTACTACGATGACGTAATACTGTGTATTGTTTATGCTGTTGCTTTCGCGGGTACACGAGTAAATATAGATGGAATTCACCCCTGTGATTTGTGCAGACAGATGTGAGAAATGTTTCTGTTAGTTGAAAATAAAATGATGCAATAAATTGGTGGAGTGTCACACATTTTGTTTGATGATGAAATAATTTGCACTCCCAAGACCAGCAACCTGATAATCTATGCCTGAAAGCCACAAACTCACACATATGCATCATCTTAGGTAGTAAAGTAACTGCCATCCCCAATAACTTTTGTTCAATGATAACTGTTGAAGGACTCTCAATATTGTCAGAATGCTTGTAAAAATTTATTTTCAGAGGTTTTTTTTAAATTTCCAGCTACAGAATGTTGATATACCTGGATGTAAACTAGAAAAATCCCCATCCAAGTCAAAAAAAACTAAACTTCAGTTTTGGTTAAGATGCCCTGGTTTGAAGTATAAGAGTAGTTATATGATTGTCGTTTGTTAGGATCTATATTTTACAATGTTGCAGTCCGCTATTTTATAATCAGGAAATGTTATAGGATTGTCGGAATTTAAGTATCTATATTTTACACTGTTGCAGTCCGCTGTTTTATAATCAGCCTTTGTAATGCGCACGTGAACATATTTGTATGTAACGTGCGCAATATAAATCAATAAATATTATTAGTAATATGTGTTTAAACAATGTAATTCAGATAAATACAATGTACATGTGTATTTAGATTACACTAAGATGTTTCATTTCAATATAAATTGATTAAAAATTATTTTAAATTGACTACGTAACGAATTTTCTATGGTGTATATTTCTAAGTTTCTAAGTTTCACCTGCGCATGTGCCCGCCTGCATGTACTGTGTGTACTGGCCATGGTACTAGCGCATTGTATACAGCTGTTACCCCCCCCCCCCCCCGCATGTACGCTATTACGCTATGGGCTGTAGGAAAGTGTAAGAAATCTAGCGACATATAGACACATGTCTTAGCTATAAACACTGTGAATATTGAGTTTATTGACCCACGATTAGTCTAATTAATTAGCAAATATGCACGCGCGGTATCGCTCATAGGCTAATATACGCACGGCTATGGGCGGCAGGAAAACAGCGGCTCACACGTCACGAACTGTAGATGGCGCGACTTTCCGAATACATGTATAGAAATTTGTTTTCTCAATTAACCAAGTAAATTGTGGACTATACACGTATACGTTTCATCGGTTTTGCCATATTTTTGCCTTCCCCTATAATAGCGTAAACTGGTATCAACACCGACGTCTCTCGCGTCTGCTATCGACATACAGTGCTGCAGTTAACATCGCCCATGCATGCACACACGTCTCTATACGTGCATAGCCTACTGACACAAGCAACGGCGGGAAAACAACAGAATGACGCGCGCGCGCACACACACACACACGCACGCACGCACGCACGCACGCACGCGCACGCACTCACGCGCACGTACGCACAGCACACACACACACACACACACACACACGACACAAACACAAACACACATGCGCGCGCACGCCCGCCCGCCCGCACGCACGCACGCACGCACGCACACACACACACACACACACACACACACACACACACACACACACACACACTCACACACACACACACACAACAATAGACAGGACTGTGGTGGAGCGACGGACTACATAGGTTAGAGCCGGTACATTACGCGGACGTACGTCATATATAATACGTTAGACTCGGCATTAGGATCCGCGTACACACAATAGCACACGCGCGATGTATTAATTAAGGTGCGACCGTCCCACCGAGCGAGTTCGCGCACGGTCGCACACACGGCCAGCGCAACCGCAACTTGCGCGCGCACACACCGCACGCATCGCAACGGCACACACACACACACACATACACACACCAACACACACACACACACAACACACACACCACACACCCACACACACACACAAAAAGCAAACAAAAACAACAAAAAAACAACAGCACGCAGCGGGTGGGACGGTGCACGCACTCACCTGGGACATGCGCCCGAGCGAAGGTGCCATCGTTGGCGCATAGCAGGAGCGCCAACGCGGCACACAGCGTTAGCAACGAGCAGCTCGCCATGACAGCTCGGCCTGGTGACGTATGTAGGTTCGCTCTGCATGCATGCGCTCAGGTGATATGAGGGAGAGGCAAGGCGGGACGGTGGCGAGCTGCTACCACGTGCTACCTGCCGTGCTACCAAGTCGCGAAACAGCGGTTCTCTCTCTCTCGCATGGTCGATAGAGCGAGGTAATTAATTCGTACCTTGGTGGGTGGGTGCGTGCTTGAGGCGTACACGTACATAGGAGCTTGTTACTACAGCAGGAATCGCAACGCTCAACCGGCGGCGAGCCACTCACGCGCGCGTGCTGTATATCGCCATCTGTACGTGTACAGACAGACAGACAGACAGACGGACCGACGGAAGGACGGACAGACAGACAGACAGACAGACAGACAGACAGACGGACGGACGGACAGACAGACAAACAGACAAACAGAGAGAAGAAAGTACATCGACACAAGAATCGAAATCGAGACATCGGTGTTCATTCACATGTTCGCGCTCGCGCGGTGTAGTTATAATAATATATATACAACTCAATATTCCGCTTTCGCGCTGTATTCAGTTGAATTGACATCGTACGAATTGACCATATGAGAGCAAGCGTAAGGTGTGTATTGAACAGGCGATGCTTGCCTTACGTGTGTAACCGGACAAGCTGAATACGATTGTATCTACGGGCAACGTTGCGGGCTGGCATAAATATGTAAAGAGCCATTGTAGATATCATTTAAAGTCCCTGCATGCTCTACTGTCGTGTTGGTTTCTGTGCCTTATAGAGGCAATTGCGTGTCTAGCTAGCGGTACCCGCACCGTGCATTAATCATACCGGCGAACTGGTATAGGATTTCCATTAGTCTCTATCCACCCCATCGCTACCACTTGCTAATGCTTGGTTACAAACACAGTTGCGCTATACGAAAATATTTTGGAAATCAATGCAACAGGTGGCGCTGCGATCTAATGCAGACGGCTCTCTATGTGAAGAAAGGGTGTTGCTAGAACACGGGCGTCGAAGGAGGGTGCCGTTACGTGGCAGCACTAGTCACTTCGTACGCTTCAAAGTCCAAATCATCCACAGAAAGATTCCACAGTTATACTTCCGTGCTAGACATGGCCTTATTTCCCTAACCCTAAACCTAACCCTAATCCTAACCCTAACCCTGACCCTAACCCTAATCCTAACACAAGTGCAGCCATATCACGTGACCCTCCTTCGACCCCCGTGTTCTAGCAACTCCCGTGAAGAAACTAATGCAGACCGTCCATTGTCGAATGAGCAGATTAAGCACCACTGAACACAGGAACACAGGCAACGCACTGAGTGCTATATACATCGCAGTTTATTTGAGCATACTGTTATTACAGAAAAATTAGCATTTAAACATTTATATAAAGGCTAAGCGCTTTGTCATTATACTGGCTATAGTAAACCGATTTTTGTTAGTGTTTCTGCCAACAGAAGGCTATTGGCTGGAAATATATTACAGTAGGCCTATCTTGCTTAGCATCGACCATCCCTACAATTCTATTGACGCACATACCGACTGTAGTGCCTAAAATATAAACACTAATAAGCACCGTGTCTGTTATAAGAACATTGCGTTATATACGTCGCGACCGTGGTATCAGAACTTGTTTATCCCGCGTCAATTAAAACGCGTGTTGTGTTTTATTTGGAAGTTATTAGATATTGGAATTTACTGATCACGTCCTAAAGCGGACGCTATGTTTTCTACAGACTGGCTCGCTAACGTTTTCAATGCATGCGCAAGCGACTTCAAAAAGTCCGTTGTCTGCCTTCAACGATCTATTTTCATCTCATGAACACGATCGTAGCCGAAGGAGGTGATTTAATATCAGTACGAAACTCGAAGAAACTCGAGAACAGAGCGAAATTCGACAGGACGTATACAGCGACGAAGAAGATATTATCACACGATGCAACGCTAGCACAGCCTACTCTGAATAATCGCGTTAATACCGCGCTCGGTTCCGGGCGTTGCCTAAAACCTAATGCACACGGCAGGCCTTGGTTGTAATAAAACAAGAAAAGACAAATTTGTCCTTAATTATGTCTTCGCCGCCCATCCGACACGGCCGTGCAAAAAACATTTTGTTTTTGTCTTCATCTTCATCTATCGCACACAACGGATCCAGCACAGCAGATAGCAGTTTATGGCGACCGAGGGTCGTACATGGTGAAAATAAGCATAAATTACCAGGTACACATTTCTATTAGCGCGCTATCTCTCCTCGGCCTGCTCGAATACATGAGGTGACAGCGTACATGCATTCGTGGTTTTCCTACAAATCTGACCAAATTCTTTCTGTATGCAACATCCACAAGGTTTCGTTGGACGTCGCCATTTTGAACGACACACGATCACTGGGCGCACGCTGATGAATCAATAAAGCGAAACATTCGCGGTTTTTTGCTTGCATGCGTGCGCCGCCCACGACCGATTTTTGTTTGTAGAGACAAAACATTCAACCTCGCAACATAACAATTGTGTGTATACAATCTCTCTCTCTCTCTATATATATATATATACATAGGCTATATATATATATATATATATATATAAACAGCCTATAATCGCAGTTTACCAAAATAAAAATGAAATTCGCCGTGAAAACGTGAAACTAAGCGGACGTGCCACAAGTACGAGCTACGGTTGTAAATGTCGAAAGGTCAAACGATGTCGGTGCTTCGCGTGTAGACGTGGCCATTTACCGCGTGCTTATACGTGCGTCGTTACCGAACAGTTGCATTTAGACTTAGTTTGCGGTCTTCATCTGTGATCCACCAGAAGAGCTTGCGAATTGAGCCATTCGTCGGCAAACTGGTCGTAAAAATGCGAATGGAATGCTAGCTGCCGCACTAACGTGACGATGCGTGCACGGCAATGGCATGTCAGCACCGCGTTACATCTATTTTTTATCCGTTTGACAGATTAATGAGTTTGGCTATTGTTCACGGATAAAACGGGCTTCGGGGCGCATGAACATCGGGTTACGCCCGCCTATTGTTGGCATATTAATTAATAATGCCGTAACGACACCTGACAGCGAATTCTGTATCACGTAAGCACGAGAGTCAATACAGAATATGCATGCGTATGCGGCGGGCAAGGAAAAAGACGCACGAAAGATCGACAATATTCAGCATTAGTTTATGATTTAATCTTCACTCTGCATCCTTTTATATATAGGCGTTGACGTCAGCCGCTAAATATCAGCAGCATCTATAAATCTCATCATAGCCGCGAGGTCTATACACTGCGATCAGTTTGCCGTTACAAATCTCTACTCAAATTGAGATGTGTTCAAATTGAGGCTCTGTTTGCGAAACGATATTTCAGCAGAATCAAAAAATCTTTGTCGCGAATACAGCTTCGAGATAAAATTATATAGGAGCGTGTGTAATGAAGCCTTTGCTGTTGTAATGATCTATCGTGGAATTACTGTGTGCAGCGTTGCATCGGACGATTTTGCAACACGTGTATAACAGTTGCGCTATCGTTAGACCCAGCGCTAACTAAAAAAAAATGCGCCTATTCATCATGACATGTTATGAAGCGTCAGCTCATAACCGCTGTCGTTTTGCAAAATGTGTTTATTTAAGTTTACGCGTAACACATTAAGCCTCTCATTTAATTTACAGCCCCACCACTCCTATAACCAGTCGCTGTGCTCAATGTATTATACAAGTATGTTAATATATGTACTACGTGTGGTTTGACCTATCGTGACTTTTCTCCTGAAGAAGCGGTCACCGGGTTGCCGTCTTCACTCTATGTGATTGTGCTACGTTGTGCCGTGACGACAAAGGAACGAGAAAGTGTCCGGAAGCACGTTGTACGTGCACACAAGACGCGTGTAAACACTCAGTGGATGAACGTTCTGCTCGGATTGGGCCGGGTGTGCCGGGACGTGATCGATCGCACTTTGCCATCCATCTTCCGTTCCCGAAGCATAGATCAATGTTTCACTAGCACTACGTCTAATCCGACGTGTCTGCTCGCGCTCTTTTCGCGCGCGCGCTCTTCGCTTTTGGAAATTCCGCTTCCTAAACTGTTTTTGTCAATTAACACGAGACTAAAACCACGGAGCTATTTCGCCTAGCGCTTTGCATACCAAGCGATCTCGCCTCATTCCTGCTTCGTGTTTTCTTAGACCGATGAATGTTTCGTAAAGCGCTCCGTAATTCAATAACCTACTAGCTGTAATAGGCTACATGACAGCCATGAAAAAGCGTACTAATTACTAATTGCCGATGCAGAGCAAAGCGAAGGCTTACGAGATTACAGTTGTATTCATAGTGCGTGCGTAATAAGTCGCATTTTATGACCATTTGAACTCTAATTAGCCGCAACAAAATCGGGCACGCTCAAACTGATACATTAGGGATTCGCGTTTTGAATTTCTTTATGTCGGTTATTTTTTAACATTCACCTTCAGCAACTCGGGTTGCGTGCACCGATAAATACCCAGATTGTTCACTTGTCATAGTTAGTTTTCTTGTGGCTCGTGCGTAAGGATGCGAAGAAGAACAAGCCCTATAACAATGGCGAGATAATGCCTATCATATCGCGGCAATAGTGTGTACATGGTGATAACGCTTAACCCGCACCGGTATAAGAGCGGTCAGATACTCAAGTATAATAGACGATTATTACGTTAATTAACATGATTGTTAAGAAGAACACACTCTACTTTGCGGTTGCCTGCCTTGCTTACTAATCGTAACGACAACGAACACACGGGTTGGGATTATGCTTCTGACGTCACCAGTTGGTTTTCAATGCTTTTAATCATAGGATGATTGTTATCGAATACTCGGTTTTGCTGTATTGGTTATAATGATACGGCGACATTGTTGTGAATTTACTGAATTTGTTGCATTGTTTATAATCATATGATAATTGTTGTGGCGACATCAGTTTAATTGTATTGTTCACCATGATAATTATATAGATTGTTTAGTAGACATGCTAAGAGCACAAAATAGGGGGTTGACTTCAAATCATGCTACAAAAGTTTCCTTTGGCATAAACGTTCCTTAGCCTTAGGGCACCAGAAACAAAATTATCCAAAGACACACGTTCTATCTCAAAATCCAAGAT